CCTACCTTCCTTCCTTCCTTTTTGAAACCAAAGTATAATAATTTACTAAAGCAAAGTAAAGTAATGCTTCCATAGTTGAGAGGAGACCCTAGAAGGTTGAAGTAGTATTTTCCTATTGAACTTGAACAAACAAGATTTTCTTTCTATCAAAATCTTAAACAGGATTTTTTTCTATAAATGTCTTAAAATCTAGAGCACCAGACACTTATATCTACATGACCCTTTCACCAATATGGTCTTTTATAATCAAGAAAACTCATTTGGTTTAGTAAAAACACATTTTTAAAAAACCATTTGGTTATTCTATTTGCTCTGTTTTCTCAACTTACTTATATTTGTATTTCACCTTAAGCCCCAGTGATAATATTTTGGCATAATTTTTGAAACTGTACCTGTCTAAAGTTGTGTTATTCATCTTAGTTTTTAACTCTCCAGGACTCTGTCAGATTTGAAAATCTCAAATCTTCATCTGATTTTAGGCAATCTAGAGAAAGTACACAGTATTTCAGTAACTACCAATGATTTCCCTCCTGTTTGTATAAAAAAGTATATTTATTTGGAAATTTGGGATTAAATAAGGGTTAAATTTTGGTCAAATTTGGAGGAGCATATGAATCTTATTGAAATAAATCATCACACTATTTTATATAAATTGAAAGAAAATAATTTTAAAATAGGAAATCTGAATTTATATTTGGAAACATTTTTAATAACTTTATTGGCGTGCAGTTGTTATAAAGAAACACCACATGTATCTAATGTTTACAAATTTGTGAATGTAAATATATTGATTCATATATGAAACCATAACCACAATAAGGAAATACACAGATCCATCTCTTTCAAAAAATTTCTTCCTGTCATTTTATCTCTTTTCTTGTAAGAACATTTGACTTAGGATCTATCCTCTTAATGAATGTTAAAACGTGCAGTACCACATTGTTTCCTATAAGCACTGAGCTATTTAGTAGATCAAATAACTCATCTACCTTGTATAACTGAACTATATACTTAATAGACATTTCTCAAGAGAAGACATACAAATGAGGGACAAGAATATAAATGCTCAACGGCACTGATTGTCAATTCATGGACTCTGTATGGACCAAACCAGAATTATAGCCAGTGAATAGGAAAATCTGGCATCTGGGAACTTCCAGTGGCAATCCTGCTGATTAAGACCACTCTGATCCATGTGAATTTTTATTCAGCTCTGCCAGATTCCATACAGCACAGGAGAAGGGTGACCTGCTGTAGCCACACAGACTCCCAGAGATGGGTGTGGCCTCCCAAGATGCCAATCAACCTGTTGACTGCAAGACACCATGAAGCAAGACTCCATCCACTGAAACTTTTGATTCTCTCCCTTAAAAAAAGAATTGGAGCCATTTTCTAACTGTTCTGTTCTAACCCTACCAGGACTAGAAAATCCTTTCAGGTGCTCCTTTAAAACTAATTCTGGCTGTCTCTGATTTCTTCACTAATTTCTTCAGACTTTAATTTTCTCAGGTGGTTATATCCTGTGCTAGATGAATTACCTTGGAAGGTGTTGGCTGCCTTGTGATAACTAATCATTAGAGAAACTGAAATTAAAACCATAATGATATATCACGTCATACCTCTTAAGATGGCTATAATAAAAACATGAAAAAAACAGGAAATGTTAGGCAGAATGTGGAGAAACTGGAATCTTTATGTACTGTTGATGGGTATGTAAAATGGAGTATCCACTTTGAAAAAAAAAAAACTATGGAGGATTCTCCAAAATAAAATATATATATTAGATGAGATTACATATATATCTATATATGTAATCTAATATTCCTACCTCTTTGTAAATGACAAAAGGAATTGAAATCAGCATGCTGAAGAGATATCTGCATTTCACATTAAACATAGTATTATTGACAATAGTCAAGACATGATACAGGCCAAATGTGCATAAATGAATGGATAAAAAAATGGCATATTCATAAGATAAAATACAGTCCAGCTTTAAAACCAAAAAGAAACATGGAAAATCATAGGGGATGTTTCACATTTTGATCTTGGTTATATACTTAACATTATTTAAAAGTAAATATCATAAATTTGAAAGTCAAAAAAAGACATCTGATGGAAATTAGATTAGATAAATAAGTAACAAAGTCAAAAAAGAAGTAACACATTGATTACTGATTTCTTATTTTGAACTCTTAATGGCAGGTATGGAATACTTGTTCTTTCATTTAATCATATTGATTACTAATCACTTATTTTGAACTCTTAATAACAGGCATGGAACATTTTTCTTTCATTTAATCATTGTAGTTTCATTATCAGGTTAAAAGTCATTATCTCAAAATTAAATACTAGATAACTAAGTATGTGAGAAATTAACTAAGATATCAGAGAGAAGCAGAATTCCAACCCAGTCTCTCTGAATTCTGAAGTTGTCTTTCCTTCAATAATATCCAGTGATTAATACCATCACTTCAGTGGATATTACTGTTTTCACAGAAATTCCTTTATAGTTGAATGAAAACCTGCTTTCTAGCAAAGGGGGTGGTTAAATAT